CTGGGCTAGAGTGCAGTGGTGTCATCATAGCTCACTGCAACCCCAAACTCCTGGGCTCAAGCGATCCTCCCCCCTCAGCCTCCCAAATAGCTGGGACTACAGGCGCACACCACCATGCAAGACTAAATTAGTATTTTGAATGAAAAAGTGGTTCCTTATATATTTGTTCAAAACCCTTGCTACTATCTTTAATTTTTTAAATAGCCTGAAAAAGTTATGATACACTGAAAATATTTACTGTACTTTCAGGTTTGGACTCACAAAAACAACCTCATTTGTTAGGAAACAGAAAAAATATATACAAAGTCATTAATCGGGAATTTCAACAAAAGTAATAGAAGGAATTTTCACTTATTTAAATAAATTAAGGAAACATATAAAAAAGACATTTATACAGTAAATAAAGTAATTTGAGAGAAAACAAATTATATTATTACATTTAAATAAACATGAAAATGATATATTTGGATGGTGGTTTTAATCTCTCCAGTAGTCTCATGAAGGTTTCGTAGAAGATGGCAATGGAGCTTTTCTTTTCTGTTTAGCAGCCTTTTCCATTTTTATCTGTAAATTTAAAATATTTATTGATACAATAATTTGTAAACCATTCTAAAGAAAAAAAGGTTGCATTAACCTCATTTGGATTCATGTCGTATTTAACACAGCCATTCCACACAGTTATTAGGCTGCTAAATACTAAAGCCAAAATCTTTAAAGGGACATAATTGCATATTTTTAAATGGTTTGATTTTGACTTTACAGAAGCATTTTAATAAAAATAACATATAAATGAAATATTGCTTTAGACAAAAGAATAAATTAGTTTCAACTGCTACTAAAATTAAAAATTAATAAAAAACTTAAATGCCTAACTTTATATCCAATCTATGCACATTCCCTACAAAGTTACAGAATACATCTAAACCAGCTGGATTATCTCTGAAACATGGACTGCTTTAGGGATGCTTTCCTGTAATTCTGGTTTCTACATTCCACAGTTACCTTCCTGAAGGTCTTGTCCTCCCTTCATTGTAGTTAAAGCAAAGAAGCAGCACACATACCCCAAGCTGTGGCCTTCTAACTTTTTAGACTCATATAGGCCTTTTCCATGGGACTAAACACCCCAGAGAACACAAAGCCTGTCTCTGACTCACCACCACTCACATTCACACACACCAATTTCCAGAGGCAGCACCACTGCCTTACCCCTGCAAGAGAAGGGGAGAGAAAATAAGGGAATGGGTAGAGACAGGGCCTCCTACCATCTAAAGTGACAGGAATAATATCAAGAAACCAGGAGAGACCTTGTAAA